GAATATAGTAAAGGACCTAAAAATCATCATATGTATTAAGGGTTAAACGCGCATAAGTATCTTAAGAGAACAGTATAAATTATTTGTTTATTATCAAACGAATTATCCTATGTAACAATTAATTTCAGGAAATATAATATAATTTTTTATCTGATTTAGCGATCAGTTTTAATACTTCAATATACTTACGTAGGCATTACATCTTATTCATTGGATATGAAATTAGCCAAGTGTGAAAAAAAATGCAAACCATTAAAATGTATACGTTATAAAAATACTTCAAGTCATGGTGATTCTTCCTTCTTTTTTTCAAACGGTCCATTTAACAGCTGCATTCATTTTTACTTCATACCACTCAATCGGAATCCGCTTTTCTCACATCTTCTTGCTTGAAATGGGTCCTTTTATAAAAATTGTTAAATCGAAGACTATTTGCTCTTACCACCCCATGAAACTCGTAAGCTTCATTGAAAGTGCACAGGATTTCGATATCGATTTTCAATTTACGGAATGTATGTGTCTACATAGCGGCTATTATCATCGTCGCCAATGTTTATTGTAGTAGGAAACTCCTCTAACCGTTCAGAAAGGAGATCATTTTCGCACGTTACTATTTTCCCTTTATCACCGAAATCACGCGTCTGAAATGGGTTCCATTTATTACCGGCTTTTAACTGATGTGCATGGAATTTGCATAGCCCTACTGCAAAGGCACATTTTAGAGCTCAATTTAGTTGGAAATAATTTTGGGGCAAGAACGTTGAGGAATTCTGACGAGCTCTATGAAGAGGCACATTGACAGACATTAAAGGTTAAGCAAATCCTTTGTTCCGCGAATATGCACAGTAATATGCGTATCGTCTATTTTGGCAATTCAATTTTTATACCGAGATTGAAGTCCTGTATGAAATTAGAGTATGAATGATTAAGCCTTACCCTCTCCCCTCTTCCGAACGCTCGTGCGACATCGTCTTCGAGGGTAAAAGGTTTTATCAAACGCGTCTGCGGGATAAGAGAATTTGAATAATCGGATAATCCGTGCAAAAGCCACCAGGAGCACCGAACGAAATACTAATAACTACGATACGAGCAAAAATGTTGTCGAGTAACTTTTGCCGAGCGAAACGCCGCGGCACGGGAACAGCCTCCGGCGATGCATTACCCATAATCTCCGGGGATGACGTCGCGAGGATCTCATTAGCCGATACAGCTAAATGTAAAATGAAAGTGCAGTCCAGGCTTGATCGCTCGCAGAAATCCAAAATTTACCATCGACTTTGATCGAGCAGAGTTTTGCCTCTGAATGTAACGTATCTTGTTTTGTTATGTTTTCTCGTTTTTAAATGATGGAAATATTTCTGTTTCGCCAAAACATTCTATTCTTAACTGTTGGCATTGTTGAGTATTATTTAAGTAAGAAATGAAATAAAATTTTCAATTTTGATGAGATAATGTGAAAATTAGTTATCGAATATTTTACGATATTAATCATAATTATATAATTATATAATTATAATTAAATCAAGTTTCTGTGGAAAATTAGCAAATAAATATTTAATTAACTTAAAATAACGCTATTTATGTATCATCCTTACATCTAAGTATAAATTTGTTCAGTCAACATATATTTGTATCCAATCGAGATAATCAAAATGATAGCGAATCGTAAATTTCTTCGTAAAGTTGTAATGATATTATCTCTTGGATGTGCGGGGTGATCGTAAAAAGCCAGGAAAATACGAATCCGGAGAAATCAACCGCAGGTTTCATGGGATCTGGAAAATTAGTATCGCGTATATATATACAAGTGTGAGTAACGAAGGAGCAATGCCGACGAGAGCGGCGAGGGGTTGTAACGAATTGCCCAGGTCAGGAACAACCGGGTCGGTCTGCTGGGTTCTTACGGCTAACGTCTTGTCGAGAAACTCGTCGAATTTGCAGGGAACGTTTCTGAGAGCGTAGAAGATATCTTGTCGCGGAAACAACGGTTTCTTATAGCCGGGGCGTTGCCAGTACAAGTTTACTCGCGCCGGAAAAAGTAGTTTGTTCGGAGGAAAAACTTTTAGGTAGTTGATCTCTTGCTGAGAATCCTCTCTGATTTATCCTCCGATTTATTCGTCGAAAAACTTTTTAATTGTTATTTCAATAATTATTGTCGTATAACTTCAATATTTGCTAATAATACGTATTTACTATTTATTACTAAATAGATAATTACGCAAATACGTAACATTCGCATTATAGTACATGACAAATTTTATCTTTGCACTTTAATGTTATTACTAATCTTCTTAATGAAAAAGGATACACGAATTTCAGTTTTGCAGTGCAGTTTTCATTTTGATAATATAGTTTTAAGAAATTAATTATATTATGAATAATTACGCGAAAAGAATGATTTTGCTCAAGTATCTAAAAATTTAGTTAGATACAGTCTGAAAATAATTTTGTCCACCATTAAAATAATAATGTACCAATCAAGCTTGATGAATAATGCTGCAAAAAATTTTGACATACTAATAACTAATTTGAATAATTAATAATTATTTTGATGGTGCAACACAAAGATTATTCTCAGATCTGTATCTAATTAAATATTTAAATACGTTAACCGCTCTTTCTATTAGTATTTATATAATGGGTACTTATCGAATTTTAATATTAATAAATAACTCATAAATGACTGTACGATTATAGAATTATAAAGATATAATATAAGATATATTATAATATATAATTATAATCTTTATATATATAAGAGTAGAGATAATGCGTTATAAAATGTTTGCTAATATGCAAAGTTATAATTTTTTCATAATAATATTATGTATATAAATTAAATATACATTAAAATATGTTTATTAATTATCAGGATACAATATTCTTGCATATATATTTATAGCACATAAAATGTGCAATGTATTTGCAATATCAATACGAGCATCCAATATGAATGTCATGGTCATATTATCAGTAAAAAATATCTTGACTGCGAATGTAATAAAATGATAGATAAGACTCTTTTTTCCAATAAATGCATTCTAAATGTCAGCTGAATTTAAATGGAAAAATGACTGTAATTGATATGCTGTTATATTTATTAATTTCCTGTTTTACACGATGTGACGCAAATATATAATATATACCAAAATATCTTCGATAATACGAAAATTGATCAATTACGTTTTTAATGACATGATATTGCAAAAGAAAGAAACGGTTTAACTCTTTGTAATTGCGAATATTATTATCATTAAATGAAACATCGTAACACATTCGTATATCGCGTACGATAAATCTCCTTTAATTGTACTAAGCATACCGAAAACGCTTAGAAACTTTTAATTGTAACAGTTCATGCAATGTACTCATATTTTATGGTAACTTTATTCCAGAGACATGGCATATATTCCTTCGCGGCCTGATATTCCTGAGGTTAATCTACGCAACGGCATTATCACAGGCACGAATAAATTTTGCGTAACTGACGCGCTCTTGCGCAGATATCAATATGCAGTCGTTATCCTTTAATACCACATAGCCCGACATCGTAAGCGCCGCTAGATCACGTGCGATCTCGCTTATCCTATTGTACATTCGCGATATGCACGTATGAAGCAACGAGAATGCAATGTTCAGATATTCTCCGATCTATAAACTAATATAACTTCGGAAAGAGAAGAGGAGTAAATAAAAGAAGTATTTTTCTTGGTTACGTTCTACTTAACGTTCGCAACGTTCTTGGATTCATTTCATTCTTGTTTGGCAATGTTTAACAAATATACTTGCGAGCGTTCTGAACGCCAAGTAAAATGGACTTGTTTAACTTATGTTATCACATTAATGACATTAATGATGCTTTCACTATGTTACATACGATATGATATATATTTTATATAGTCCTATCACACAGGTTAAATGATTTTGAAATATTATTTGATAAAGGCAAATCAACTTGCTTATGATCAACTGGCATATTAATTTTTCATATTTTTGTTGAGTTTATAAGATCAGATTAGTTAGTCTTCTTCTTCAAGTTTTTATCCTGAATTATTTTGTCCTGATATTTTTACGATTTATAGTAACGAATGAATTCTCGTTCCATGCTTTATTTTTACCACATCCTTCTCTTCTTCACTCTTCGTATCATCCATGCGAGATTTACACGGCCGTGAAGACACAACCTATCGGAATACCATGTATTTTTCGATAATATGGGCAGGATTTGTTATTTGAGTGAGATTTATTGTGGTTTTATACGTCGTTCGACATGTATAACTGCGCTGCCAAGCCTGGCAAATTACGACCTCTCTGAAATATCTGTTTGATGCTCATCATTTTTTGCGTTCTTTTTTGATTTCGTTTTTAATGAATTTGTCGGATAGATTTTTCCGCAAAAGAAAGGGAAAAAAAGAAAGAGAGGAGAGATTAATGTTCGATCTTTCTGATTTTATCCCCGCAAATCAGTGCTTTAACTTTCAATTTAAATCTGGGTCTTGTTTGACGTGTTAATTCACGCTTTTACATTTACAATTGATAAAACGAGAAGCACTGATGTTGCTCAAAATGAAATGGTAGCGTTATAA